GCCGCAAGCCCGCCAGACGCTCCTTCGTCGAATCCGCCGGCCGCGCTGTTCTCAAGCCCGCCCGCCGCCGCTCACTCTAGCTGGCCTCCGCTCACTCTAGGCCTCTGGCCTCCGCTCACTCAAGCCCGCCGTGTGTTTCGTTGTTAAAGCGATACTACTTTGTTTGGCCTTCCAAAAGAGGACACGACAAAGGTGGGGCATAGAGGAGAAACAATAATGTACAGTATGTGGAAAATAATGTGTTTTTTTAACCTTAAACCGCATAAACACATTTCATTACACCAAATACACAAAATAATGTTCTTTTTAGCAACATCATATGACTTTAATGTAATGAATTTATTATTTTTACTTGATTTTTACACCAAATCAGATATTACATCAAAAATGTTTTTGAAATAAACCCTCTACTAGATGGCAGATGAATGCCTAAAGAACAAATACATATGTCACTTTAGTTTGTGATATTTTTTTAAACACCAATTTTTAGGTTTCACATCATTTTCAGTTAATTATCCCACATGAGTAACAGGTTTTTGTTATCACAGCCCTGCCTATGCTGTTTTAACCTCCTCACCTCTTCACACATTTAACCAACAACAAAGACGTTTAAAAAAAATTCACAACATAACACAATTAGTTAGGGTTACTGAGTTGGTGACTATCATTTACAATGAGTCAACACACACACACACACACACACACCCTCACACCCAGCCATAAGAGGGTAGGGCATGTTTCTCTGGGACCAACAGGGCTGCTCTTAAGTGCTACAGCTGTGTAAGCAGACATATATTGTTTTTAACCCCAGCAGAACTCGACTCCAATTACCATACTAGGCATCGAGCCCAAAACACACTCACACGCCCTATCAGGGTCAGTTTTGAAACAAATGTCATGGTTTTCTGAGGAAATGACGGTCATGCTGTCTGTCCAAAAACTTTGTTGAAGGACATCCGTCTCTGGTTGTATCAGCAACATCAGCTGCGCTGTTAACACAGCTGAGGTTTGATATACTCACTCATCTGAGTCATCTTTACTATTCAGTAAAGTGTTTACAATGTATTGTGCATGTAAACTATAAAGCATGCTGCTTAGCATTGTAGCCAGTTTTTACAGTGTTAGCCCAAAAAAGCTGTACTGGAATTACAGTAAGGTCAGGGGTCTAAAAATGCCAATTAAATGATATTGCCATGCCATCTCAAGGATTAAAGATTGGAATGTACTGGCAGTGCCAGGAGTCATCTAGACCAGAGCATATGTGCCAAAATATGTTGCCTACAGCTCTGGGAGCGGAGATTGTGTGAGAAAGCTGATTTGTTAAGTGTTGTTTGACTTATCCTGAGTGATCTGTCTGTGAAAATGACTGTGAAAACCCCCATTCTCCCATATGGAATTTTCTGTCCAGTTGCACCACTCACTCTGATCTGGAACGCTATGAACATGTACAAGTCGAGTGATGCAAATCCCAGTGCTGTTGGACTAAATATCAGCACTCATGGAAAGACATTTGGCCAGTTAAATTCAAGGACCAGAATTAACTGTTGTATTGTCACTATATTATAATATAATATAATATAATATAATATAATATAATATAATTAATATAATATAATATAATATAATATAATATAATAACATTAAAAAAGTTTAACCATATTTTATTTTATTTTTTTATGTATTTTGCTCTGTGTTTATGTTTTGCTCACCAAGGCTGCAATTATTTGATCAAAATACAGTAAAACAGCAATATTGTTTATACATACATACAGTCACTTTCATCAGTTTAATGCGTACTTGCTGAATAAATGTGTTAATAAAATAATAAAATATAAAATAAAATAAAAAACGTATTGACCTCAAACTTTTGAACGGAAGTGTATAATGAGGTTTCATGTTCCCGGATCCTTTATTAAGACAGATTAACATTTTACATTTGCCCTTTGTGGAATATCACGTTTCATTAACGCTGATTACAGGATACGTCATTTCACAATCCCCAGATGATTTTTTAGAAAAATGGCAAAATCTCACGAATTCTGCAAATACAGACACTTCCCATCCATTGCGATTACAAAATCAAGAAATTACTGTATGCTCTTAATAATTTGACTGGAGATTTGAGGTCTTCAGCTCTTCCAAAAACACCATACGCAACAAACGAATGGCATGCCAATGCTAAAGAAAAAGTAATCCAGTAATCAGATGATAAATGCACTTGTCAAGTAGGTAATCGAAACGAGATCGAACCAAAGCAAATGAAATCATACACTAATAATCATGTTTAGCTATTGCAAAACCGTATTTAGCATTCCAAGCTGTGCGTAAAATGTAAGCGTGTTGTTCAAAATAAAAGGAAATCTACACATGAAACACATCTTACCTTGCTCATAGCTCGTGCATCTCTGGCCAAAAACAGCACATAAGTTAAAATACTTGCGCAGATCCACATTTTTCATTAACTAACCCAAGTCCCTTTTTTGCACAGCTGCCACCTTATGATATGATTTGGCGTCTCTGAAAGCACCTGTATCCTTAGCCTGGAATTATGAGTCTAGATCCACTAGAACACAGGTTTACTGCTCCATGATTACAGGTCGGTGCCATGCAGAGTTGTGTATGTTGTGACGCACAGGTCGAGCTTTGCTCTGCGCAGTTCTTTGGTGGAGACGCGCGCACACCCATCATCACCATCTCCAACACTTTGTGCCAACGCGAGGCGGGGAACCGCTGGCTGCACTTGTGCTACAAAGACAGTTATGTTTTGTGCGTCTGTGTTACTTTCCAAGAACATTAAAAAGTGACCACTGACCAATAATTATATTTATATAAAAAGTTATGTGTAAGCCAGTGTTTCCCAACCTTTTTTTAGTCGCTTATTATCGAAACACGTGAGCATAACATAGCGGTTAGCAGCAGATCAGTGAATGAGAGGGCAGCGTTACCAGAGTTGCCCATATACCACACATCATGTTACAACACAGTAGGGCTATTGCAGACAGAAACAATACTGTACTACATCGATGTTTCCTGTCGGCTCAATTTTTGAGTGGACTTTGCTGTTCCGATTCGCATGAACGATATACGAGTGGAGCGACTGAGCGGAGCGCACACGCATAGAGCGGGATAATACGCAGAGCGTCACATCATGTGAAAGTGAAACCTGAGCGGTGAACTAATTTTCGGCAGCTAGATATTATATATAATATATAATATCTATATTATATAATAGATGCTTTTTTGAACATTTTAGCAATTTAAAAATATTAAAAAAAGATTTTTTACACGGCACCCCTGCTCTCGACAGACGGCACCCCAGTTGGGAAACACTGGTGTAAGCTATTTCGTGGTTAATATTAAATAGCTCACATAATACTAAAACAGGTGTTTCTTTGTTCATGTTATTCCTATTAATAATAATCGTATCGGTATTATTAATGTTGGAAATATTAGTGTATAAAATACTAACAATATGGTTTATATTTTCAGTGACAAATAATGGGCAACCTCAAGCAACCTTCAAGTAAAGTATTCGCTGTTGTATAGCGCCCTCTGTCAGGTAATATGTTATTAAATAAATTGCAATAAAAACAATAATACATTAACAGTGCCTAACTCTAAAGCATTGTATTTTCAGGGCCTGCATTTTTGTGGGACTGAAATTCAACACGATTGTATATCTGTAAATATTTCAACTGGAAAAAATGTATTTACACACACAAGTAATTTGTCTTGATGACAGGAGCTTCCAGAGCAAAGAAAAAGTACAGACACACAATAACATATAATTTGACATAATACAATTAAATATATAATAATAACGAGAATAGACAATAAATTAAAATAATAATAATTTTGCAATATAGTCGATGTGAATTAAATGATGTGATTAAAACCAATGTTATGATACACAGACTCTGCTTGAGATAATCATCCATTTCATGTCATGTGAACCTTTTAGCATCACCACAATACATGATACTGCAAACACACATGCAGACATTTTTCCTTTGTTTGTTTAAAATTTGTTAGAATCCAAATGTTTATAAAAAAGTTACTTAGCAAATTTTGTTTGTTAACTTTTAAACAGCTCGCGTTACCGTTATTTTGATGCGCAGTTAGGCCTACGTATCATGATATCACATTTATTTAGGGTTTATATTTATCTCAGTTCAATGTCTCATTACAGAAAGCTCAAATCTTGTCAAATCTCCTGCAGTGAAATACCTGAACGCCCACACTGGAGTGGTCCTCATACGCAGCAGGAAAAAACACTATCAACTCATCTGGTCTGCCCTTTCTTTCATCACCTGCCTTGAGAACAGAGGCCAGAAGGTGCAGTGCTTCCTCAGCTGCTTACCTGTTGGAGGTAAGAGAGGTTCTGTCTTGTTTAGCCCCCATCTGACACCAAACTGCCGCCATCCATGCCCTTCCCTGATCTCTTCCACAGGAACGACAGAATATGTCAGAAGTTTCTTGTAAAATATAACAGACAACAGCTCCACAGAATGCTGCTAGACTGCAGAACAGATGGTAAGTTCTCTGTTACATTACAGTCTACCCTTAAGTATATACGGAGGCCCTAAGAGGCCATGCATTATTCTTTTTGTCTTTTTTCCTGATCTCGACATCAAAAACATTTTCTCATCAGGACGACTTAATTTTTTGTGATCTCGACATAACAAAACAGTTGTTGGTTTTTCTCCGTGCCTATTAGGATATTTTGCTGTAGACTAAAACAGGATGATTAAAATACACAAATAAACTTCTGTTTTGGAATAAGTAAAGAAGTTACTGACATCAGATCACAAGTGTGTAATGGTCAGCAGTTATCCGAAACATTCCACTTGAAAAAAAAATATGAATAAGATGTATCAAATAAGATTTAGAAAACAGAGCAAAAATTGTATGGTTTTCCACAGAAGAAAACAAAAAAACAATTTATTTTTAATATTCTTCTTCTTTCTTTCTTTTGTTGTTGTTTTAAAGTACACTGAAAAATTCAGTTGTGATCACTAGAAAACAATTATTTGATGTTGACATCACAAGATAAGCATTCGTTATGTTAAGTTTATGTCAAAATTAAGTCAAGATCACAAGAAAACAACTATTTTGTCATGTTGAGATTAAGAGAAAACAAACTTTCGTTATATTGAGATTACAAGAAGACGACAAAGAAAAAAATAAAATAATGCATGGCCTTTAAGGGCTTCCATAATTTTAAGCACAAGACCAGTATATTTATTTATTTTGGAAAAGAGTGTCCCCAGGTGGCAAGCCATACATATCTGGAAATTACAATACTATAAACCTGTACGCATTTCTTTTTTCTGCTGAAGCCTCTGTGTTCAGCAGAAGAAAAAAGCGTGAGTAATAAATGGTGACAGAATGCTCATTTTTTTATTTATGCTATTCTTTTAATCTGCAAAGTTTGAGAACCACTGATGTAGAAGAGTCACATACTGTATACACAAGCTCTCTTTCTCTTCCTGTCCACAACACAGCCGAGAAACAGGAGGTTAGGAGAGCGATCCTGAGCTGTTCCCTGAGTAACGTCAGAGAGGAGGAAGCTGATGAAGATGGAAGTGATGATGATGGTGATGAAGAGACCCAAAACCCCTCCTAAAAACTAAAAAGCATGCAGTGATCAGGGAGATGTACTGATATTTAATGTTCTTTGTAAAACTGATAGTAAAGGGTTAATGTACAGCCCTAACATTTTTGATAACACATGAAACATTTGTGTTTTTGTTTTCTGGAGCATTTTGTGATTTATAAATGGAGTATATCATTCACATTACTGCTATTACTGTGTGAACTGACTATGTATGTGCTGTGTAAGTCACGTGTATGTATTTTTTTCTGTACTGATTAACATATCTAACGCTGTTTCTTATTTGTTATACGATGTCTGTAAACGTCTGTTTACAATAAATGCTTTGATAGCAAAAATAGGACTATCTGTCTATAAAAAGTTTATTTTTTATTTTTTTATTATTAACAAGATCAAAATACATGTAGGCTATATGACAAACACTATACATGATATAAACAATAAACATTATACATTAAATAAACAATTTCACAGTAGAGGGGCTGTATACAAATACATTTATATAAAAATATTAAAGCGTTTACAAACTTTCACCGTTTTAATTGCTTTTTGTTTCATAGAAAATCGTATAGTATCAATATAATGCTCCATTTCCTTCCTAAAAGAAAAAAATACTATTTTTTTGCATGAGAACTTACATTTGTGAATATGACATTTTGCATGTAAAACTGTCTATAAAAAGTATGCGAATGTGAGATTACACATGTATTACATCACGTTTTGCGGTCAAATGCACCAATCAGAATGGCAGAATCCGCGCATGCGCATTTCGTAACCCTGCCGCGTTTATAACCCTCATCCGGGTGTCTACGGTTCCCGTTTGGCGACCCGTCGCCATGTGCCTGACATTATTTAGCTGAACTCAAATTTGGGTTAAAACCCATTTATTCATCCGTTTTCCTCTGTTGGAAAGCGGTTAACGCCTTGTGGGGCGCAACACTTCCCACGCCAAGGAAAATCGGCGCTTTTCAAGGGGCGAGGCCCCGCTTTTTGGGCACTTGTTTTTTTGTGTTAGCACACAGCTTTTTTTTACCGAGACATTTAGCTTGTGTCTCTGTTTTTCTCTCGGTTTGTGGTCAAGATGTCGCCGTAATGGGGTCTCCGCGTTTGACAGAAATGAATAAGGGCCTTTGTCGCCTGACCTGCATTCGCAACAGCCCGTTGTTCTCCCCGTTTACCCCGTTCCATGCTAGAGAGCTCGAAGGCTCTTTCCCCGGAGTTAGGCCTCAATATGGAGAAAAACCCAAACGCCAACAACAGCAGCAGCACGAAGATACCGCCCCGTTCCAGCTCTACAGGCCCGACTCCTACAGACTCTAAAGCCAAAACAGGTAAATCAGCGTCTCATACACCCAAACACACACCTGTCATGGTCAACTTAAATCGAGGGGAAAGTGTGTGTGTTTGTGGGTCACGGCACGGGTTTATTCTCGTCTGTAGTGATGTCCGGTTCGCGAACGATTCAGATCATGATTATGATGTTTTAACTGACTGAAGTTATGATTACTGACTTTATATATTTGAATGTGTATTTTCATCCAGGCCTGGGACGATAGACTTGATATCATTACGTCATCGCGAATGACGTCATTACATTAGGGCGTAAAAGAACCGATGAACCGGTTTTTTTAACCGGTTCATTGAAACGAACTGTCCGAAAGAACCGGTTCGCGGAAAAGAACCGGACTTCCCATCACTACTCGTCTGTCGAGATGACGTAGCTAGCCACGGCCAGCGATTTGCCCGTTTCTGGAATAAACAATTCGAGCAATATCAATAAAAATATTAAATATATCAATAAAGTGTTGAACCGTGTCAGAAATGAACTTTTGTTAAGGGTCAATATTTTATCTGAAATTGTTTTTCAGGGATATTTTTACTTTTATTGGGGGATTTTTTAAATGTTAATTAGCTTATCAAATAAATCCAATCCATAATAAACTAATTTACCTGTTATATAATAAGTATTTTAATTATGTTATAAATAAACTTATTGAATTTCACACACACACACACACTTAAACTTTGCAGGCAAAGTGAAGTTTTCAGTTTCTAATCTACATTGTATATTTACGCCTTAAATATATTCATTAAACGTACAACTTTTCATGGAATTTAAAAAATCTTGTATAATTTTAACTGCTGTATTTTTGAGTGTGCGTGGTTTTTATTTTTTAATTCTGTAGGCTAACTCTTGTATTTTTCTCAGCTTTTGCCATGAAGATAGCCTTAGATGCTGACATGACAGTAAAAATAAATAACTACTGCTGCTATAACCTTTTCATTTTGTGATCCTTGTATTAAAAGGCACTCAGAAATACTCATATGATTTCATGTTGATTAAACCAGTAAACCCACTTTTTTTCTAACTAGACTGGGTTTACAGATTTGAGCCCATGTGTTTATGTAATTTATTGTGGTGTCAGTGCATATATCCACCCAATATAAACTCATTTTCTGATAATACAGACATTGGGTGGTGTGTGTGTGAGTCTTATACCGATAAACTAATATCAAAACTGAATTCCCCTAAACTAACCTAAAACAAACAGAATTCCTTTGAAATTCTTGATCTACCCAAGGGGAAATTCATATTTGGGTTCATTATCCCCTCCTCTTAGTAGCAGATCAGATGCATGAGGATCATGGTCAAGATCTATTCTTGTCATCAGCCTGCCATGTGACAGAAGAAGAGCTTCAGTGGTGTATTGGCCTCTAGCTTTTGGATGGACCCAGGAAAGCCTCCAGCATATCAGAATCCAATCGCTGTAGATAACAACTAAAACAGTGTTGTCTATGTTTTAGTTTTAATAATGTTTTGATGTGGGCTTGTGAACCGTACGGGACGGCGATCTCTGCTGCTGGATGATAAGCTGTGTGTGTTTACACCCCTGTGCTCTTATCATGTGATCCTCTATAAAACACTTTAAGTGCAGCGCGTGACTGGATTGATTAGCTAAGGCTGTGCGAATGTTGTCAAATATAATGAAAAGCAAACAGGGGTTTCATTCCCAAAAATGATGTAGATCTCGTTTCAGCTTGCTGAGGAAAAAAAAATACAAAGTTGTCAATATTGCAATCAAGAAAATGTAATGTTTTCCCGAAGTTGCAGGGACACCCTCTTATCAAGTCAAATGTTATGCTTGATTAATATATTGATGTATTTTGACGTTTCTCCTTTATTTGCTCTGTTCTTTTAGATGGTAAGAATAATGGGGGCTCAAAGCGCTATAGCCGCAAGCGTGAGCCCACTTTTGCCAAGGCCGAGAGCTTTCCGGGCCCACGCCGCTCCCAGCCACATAAAAGCAAGAATTTTGACAAGAGACCCCCTCAGAGAGGTGGCGGAGGGGGCAGACTGTATGGACTCGCTGGTGGTGGGAGAAGAGAAGAGGTGTTTAAATAAGCATTTGGATTATGATTCATTTGTACTTCCATGAAGGGCTGTTGTTATGCTTCCTTATTGCATGTTAATGTGAAGATAACAGTGATCGTGTTGGTTAATTAACTGCTAGCAAATAGCCTGTAATGCAATGTAAACAAACAGACCTGTACTTATATGGGTTAACCAGGATTAAAGGATTAGTTCACTCCAGAATTAAAATTTCCTGGTAATTTACTCACCCCCATGTCATCCAAGTTGTTCATGTCTTTCTTCAGTTGAAAAGAAATTAAGGTTTTTGAGGAAAACATTCCAAGATTTTTCTCCATATAATGCATTTAAATGGGGACCAACGGGTTGAAAGTACAAATTGCAGTTTCAGTGCAGCTTCAAAGGGCTCTACACAATCCCAGCCGAGGAATAAGGGTCTTATCTATTGAAATGATTGGCCATTTTCTAAAAAAGATGCATGTCCATGACTTCATGCATTATGTATTCACAAAGCGAACGTGCAAAGACTAAGTTAAACGCCTTTTACAAAAAAAAAAAAAGTAAAACAACGATGTCAGACGATTATGAAGTTTGAGGGGAAAATGAGATGGAGTTTTTCACCCTACCCTACCTGTTTGAACCAGAGTCGGTACTTTTGCCTTTGTCATGCATGACCTTTCCAACGTGATTATGTAATGATTGAAGTAGTAGACACGCATCGCGGAGCTGGTGCAAGATGAGCATTTGTGGTTAAAGTATATACATTTTTATTTTTTAGGAAATGACCAATTGTTTAGCTAGATAAGACCCTTATTCCTCGGCTGGGATCGTGTAGAGACCATTGAAGCTGCAATTTGGACTTTCAACCCATTGGGTCCCATTGAAGTCCATTATATGGAGAAAAATTCTGGAATGTTTTCCTCAAAAACCTTAATTTCTTTGCGACTGAAGAAAGAAAGACATGAACATCTTGAATGACATGGGGGCATATAAAATATCAGGAAGTTTTAATTCTGGAGTGAACTAATCCTTTAACTGTTGGATTCTCTCATTAGGTAGCAGAGAACCGCCGGGCAGAGTTTAGCCCGGCTCAGTTTGCTGGACCCAAAAAGATAAGTCTGAACCACCTGCTCAACTTCACGTTTGAGCCACGAGGAGGTCATTTTGGCTCCGGAGGTGATGGCCACTCTTGCTGGGGTCGCCGCAACAAGTGGGGTCACAAACACAAGCCCTTCAACAAGGAGCTTTTCCTGCAGGCTAAGTGAGTACAGCAGAATATGTTGCAAACTTTTATATGAATTGATATTAAATCACATGCAACAATAGTCTGTGTACTTCAGTGTTATGATAAGCTGATAAAAATGCCAATCTGATGAGTGCGTCTTCCTTTTGTCCACCAGTTGCCAGTTTGTGGTAATTGATGATCAGGACTATCAAGCCCACTTCACTGATCCGGACACTTTGGTGGACTGGGACTGTGTGCAACAAGTGGTCAGTTCAGACTTCACACTTCCTTGTACATCCTGTCAGTGCCTTTTCTACAAATCTCAGCATGTTCATCATGTTTTTTTGTTTTGTTTTGTTTTTTTCTCGTTCAACAGCGCATCTGCAGTCACGAGGTGCCGTCTTGTCCGATCTGCCTATATCCCCCTGTGGCGGCCCACATCACGCGCTGCGGCCACATCTACTGTTGGCCATGCATGCTGCACTACCTCTCTCTGAGCGAGAAGAGTTGGTCCAAGTGCCCCATTTGCTATGAGGCTGTGCACAGCGCTGATCTCAAGAGGTTCGTACAGAAAACACCTGTTTATAATACTTGTTTGGTTTTTAAATTAATGTGAACTTCTTGATGTAGAAATCTGTTATTTTATTTAAATC